AGGAGCCATAGCAGATATGGGGTTCTTTGCGGCCCATTGCCTGCTGGGAGAGCATGCAGTGTCCAGTGGTGACTCCAGGAGAGCAGATCCTCAGCTGTAGGACTTTTTTTTTTTAAAGATTTATTTATTTCTGCATACAGAACTGGGGTACAGGCCAGAGGTGCAGAGATTGTGAGAGGATTCACCAGAGACAGAATGGGGAGCAGAACAGGCAGATCGTCGAGGTACACTGCTGAGGGGAGCAGGGGGTGGGTCAGGAGAGGTCTACCGTGCCATGTGGGTCACCTCCTGGGCAGGCGGGGGTCGAACTCTTGCGGAAGTGGCTTTAGCATTTAGTGCTGTGCTTTAACCCGCTGCGCCACGAGGGAGGGCCAGCTGTAGGACTTTTTAAGTTGCATATTCTGAAAAGTACCTGCTCCTTCTGTAGCATGATGTTGGCCTTCAACTCTGTTCTGCCACCTTAGCGTCACAGTGTGATCTGGGCTGGGGTCCGGCCTTACCACAGCAGTTGTCTAGCTAGTCAGTCCTTGGCTTCTGGTGCTGGTTCATATGCACCAGCTCAGAATTCTGCTGGGATAAATGGTGCTATGTTCCTGTCTGTAGCCAGTTTCCATGGAACCCTCTGCTGGAGTTCAGCTCCTTCTCTTGGAGACCAGCTTGTTGGGGCTGTATTGAGTGTGTTAACCTTTACTTGTCAAGATTAGTCCAAGTGACAAATGGGAGATGCGATTTATTACATGAAATGTTGACTTAGAGCAGAGTACAATAAGGTAGCTTTATTTTAAATTTTAGCTTTTTTTTTTAAAATTTATTTATTTATGTATACAGAACTGGGGTACAGGCCAGAGGTGCGGAGGTTGTGAGAGGATTCACCAGAGTCAGAGTGGGAAGCAGAACAGGCAGATAGACGAAGGACACTGCTGAGGTGAGCAGCAGGCGGGTCAGGAGAGGTCTGCCACGCCATGTGGATCACCTCCGGGACCAGGGATCGAACTCTTACTGAAGCAGCTGTAGCTAGCTTGCAGTGCTGCGTCTTAACCCATTGAGCCACCAGGGAGGGCCCTTAGCTATCTTTTTGTTAGAGTTTCCAGTCAAATAACATAGAACATGTTTAGTTACAAAAATTAGACTGAAGGCAAAGAGCTGATTAAAAGTCTAGCTACATAAGGCTGCTTTGTGTGGGATTGCCTTGTCCCAACTTCTGATTCTCACTCTTAGCAGACTCTTCCTTTCTGTGAGATTGGTCACATGAAAAATGTGGGAACAGCTTGTTGTAGTAGACAGAAGGGGGGCTTTTCTGGTCATCAATTAGAAATAAACTCTTTTCTTAAAAGAGATGTAACATATAACAAGTAAAAGAAAATGATAAAATGAAAGTTTGGGTGTAACACATAATTGTAAGTAGAAGTTTAATTTTTACTTCATTCGGAAGTAAAAAGTCTTCGTGTCAACATGACCAGACTAATGTAATTAAATGTATTTTGGAAACAAGCCTAAGGAGCAGTTTAATTCTGAATCAAGAGCATAAAATTAGCTTTGCTTGTTTTTTTCTTCCTTGTGCTTTAGATGATAATTTAAAACTAATTTAAATTTAAAATGTTTGAAGTTGTAGCTTGTGGATTTTTTGGCATCTCACTCTTCTTAGGGTATACTTTCTATAAAAGTTGAATGGCTCAAAATAAATTTCAATAGCTGGGGACTAAGGATATTGAATTAAGGGGCAAGAAGGGGCAAGTGGTGATCCCTGATGCCTAGATGTTTCTCTATTAGGGTTTCGACCAAGGAATGGTAAAATCATGTGGATACTCAATGGTGATTGGGGCCTGGGCCATCCAGCACACTATCTCTGCCTCGAGAAATCAGGATCATCTCGGCCTCATCATTTAATGTCTTTGATTCTCAGGTTCCCCGTACTGATTATCTCACAGAATTGTTTGAAAAGTCCCATAAAAAAATATGGCTGAACACATTTTACAAGTTCAAGTTTTAGACAATAGAATGTATGGTATGTCTTTGTCAGGCACTGAGAATTTGTCGGGATGCTGGAGGCCTTTGAATCTAAGACTTTGGTGTTAGTTACATTTGAAATATACCCAAGTAAGTTCCTAGGTGTTAACTGTCTTGCCCTCGTGCTCACAAACATCGCCTCCAGTTAGTGGGCACTTTATTATATGTCAGGCCTCATCTTTCCATTTCTTATCTCATTTAATCCAAAAACAACCCTCTGAGTAGTGTTCTCATTTTTGGTGTAAAAAAGCTGAGGCTCAGGGACATTTGGTAATTTGTTGAGACGTGCAGCTAATATGTGGCAGAGCTAGGATTCAAACCCAGACACATTTGATGCTTATGCTTTCATCTAGAATTTTCTTTTGCTTCACCTTTAGATACAGGTTATAAACTGAGCCCAGAAAGGCAAAGACATTTGCCAAAGGTCTCACAGCTAGTGGTAAAACTAACAGAATAGATTTTGGCTCTTAGTGGTGTTCCTTCTCTGCCTCTCTCTAGACTCCACTGTAGCACTGGAATATGATCCACAAAAAGGCAAAGTTATCTTGGTCCTGACATCGGCAGCTGATAGAAATAATAGAACCCACTTATAAAAACCGTCCTTTACTCATCGCTTAGACTTAATTTCTTTTAAAGCTTAGATTCTTGCACTTTATGTAATTATGAAAATTTCCCTTTCAATCATATTCCTGCTCAATTAGAACATAAACTCCCATAATTTCTCTCTTTTCCACCCCCAGAGGATGGAAATCATTTCATTGTCACAAAAGAAAATGACTTAATTCACACCGAAAAGCAAACAGCAGGGGCAGGCAGTAAGCTGAATGCCTTTTCTGCAATAAACAAATAGTTACGAATATTAAGGTCTTTTCTGTAGATCTTCTATAAACTCAGTTTTTGACTAGGCTGGTATATAATGAATCACTCAATTTTGCTATTTAATCTCTGTTGGTCAGACATACAAAAAAGAGATGAAGAAGTTATATGTGGAAATGTTTGGAGCAAAATCGATTGTTAAATAAACATAATACAAAAATAAACATATCACTATAATAAAAACAAGGTCATTATAACAAAAGTAAAATAGATGTATTATAAAAACATTAAAATGAAAAACTAGAAAACAGATTATCTTAAGGGTTTTACTGTTTTTTTAATTTATTGTTTTTTCAGATTCTAAAGAACTCTGTCACAGCTGTTCAAGGTCCCAGGTCCCTAAAAATTCTTGGAGATAAGACAGTAGGTCTAATCTGTTGCAAGGAAGAAGGTTTGAAGAGAGCCGACAGCTTGTTTCCAATTTTTCACCAAGCAACAGAATGAGATCTTACACTTTCTTTGAGGAACTTATTTACAAGCTGAGAGATTATCTGTCACTTTGCTCCTTTTTTATTTTATTTTTATTTTTTGTGTAGAAAAGCTGTGGTATAGGCCTGAGACACTGCTTAGGGGAGCAACGGGTGAGACAGGAGAGGTCTGCTGCACCCTATATGCTATATGTGTGTTACTCTGGCCCTCAGGGTGATAATGCTAAGATTTAACCCCTAGGCCACCAGGGAGACCCCCACTTTACTTCTTACAGAGGGTAAGTCCTGAGTCCCCACTGACTGCTCATCTCAGGTTACATCATCTCAACTCCTGACATTGTCCTGAGAATTAAAGTTCCATAGTTTCCAATTTAAGTGTGTGATCACTATGCTGTTTTCCACCCATTTATATAAATTAATTGCAACTGTCACTTCATCATTTCAAGATGAATTTCTATATTACTCAAACTCCTTTTTTATTCTCTTTCCCCTTTTCTTCCTTCATGTAGCTTGATTTTAACCTCTGGGAAATTTCTCTCATTAGTGGCTTTGCGAAAGGTTTGTTTAACTTCTTTGCCAAGGAAGTTTAAAGCAAGGGGTCAAATGAAATTTGGAAATAATTTGACATCTGGTTTCTTCTGCTTCTCTGATTACAGTTGATTGTCAATTATTAGACATGCAAATACTAAACAAATGCTCTGACTCCACACTCATATGCACAAGAGAAGAATTATAAATATTCTGTCTTACATTTGTTTTTATACTTTGGGGGAAGCAAAGCTGTAAGGAACTCAGGTAAAGTTCTAGGAAGGGAATAAGACAGAAAGGAAAGCAGAAGGCCGAAATAAATCAAATAATAATGGTATTAGAGAGTCTGCCCCTCATTCACCAAACAGAAGCAGTTGTTCTTCATTCCTTGGGAGCCCCCAGTAGGGGGTTCAAAGCTCCCCAGCAGGAACTCTCCCTTTGCCTGGACAGGATTTGTGAAGTCATCTGGGGAACTTGCCCCTTCCAGGAAGAAGAGGCCAGACTTTGGAACACAAAGGCCAACAAACATTTATCCAACGGTTATTAAACTTCTGCTCAAGTCCCCTTGAACGATGTTTCCAGCTAATCAATGACTCCCCTCTTGCCTGCTGTGGGAGACTTGTCCCTTCAGTGCAGACGTTCTCAGGACAGCACTCACCCCTGAGCAGCAGAGCTAAGGCGCCAGAGTCAGTGATGCATAAGGCCCCCTGCCTAGTATTATTCTCTGCAGATTTCTGGACCATTTTTCTGTGTTTCTCATGATAAAGCTGTGTCTTTGGAAGCTGAGGAGTTATATAACCCAGTCTGGGGCTGCCTAGAGATCACTCTGGGAAGAAACCACCTTCTCCCTTTGTTGGCTAAGATTTTCTTATTACCTTCTCATTTCAGTTTTTTCTATTGAAAGATAAGCTCACAATATTGGAACCCAGGACTCAAAGTGGCGTCTTAGGCTCTTCCTTTTATTGCTGCATCCAAGTCTGAATGTAGCTACAGGGCATTCTGGAAAGGGCTTCATTTTTAGAGATGTCACATCTATTGATTCAACTATTATTTCCTTGAATTACGTGGATATATTTGTTAGAACTTCATTTGGGAAAGCATATAATTCCTTAAGGTCTAGATAGAGGCTCTCTTCAAAGAGAAGCTTTTTAAAGAGAAAAAATATGAGTAAGTAGCACGTTGTGGTTGTTGTTTGCCATTATTTTTAACATTCTCTGACTTGATACTCTGAAGCCAGGGCTTTGAGTTTTGGTTTCTGATACATTGTCAATTTACATTACAGGAATGTAAAATGTAATGTAAATGACACTTTACCTTGAGTAAAGTGCCAGGTTAGATGCATGCAGGGTTCCAGGGAAACGCGTGATCAATAATCATTGTCATTCTTTGTCACTCTTTCCTAGAAATCAAAGCCCAAGTTTTACGTGCTTTCCATGTTCCCATACCCCTCTGGCAAGCTGCACATGGGCCACGTGCGTGTGTACACCATCAGCGACACCATGGCTCGGTTCCACAAGATGAGAGGGATGCAGGTACGGAAAGCGGGCTGCTAGGTGGCCCGTTTTTATCCCACTCAGGGCTCAAGAACAGTGTCGTGAGTGCTCAAGACAAATGAAGAAGCCAACTTTAATTAAGATGAAGACAGCTCCCCAGATAAATGCGAAGACCCCTGTGAACTGGAAGACACGGTGACAAAGCCCTAAATCAGTGTGTGTGTGTGTGTGTGTGTTTGGTGAGGGGGGGAGTGCGGGGGTGCAGCCCTGTGTTGGATGTTGAGCTGGGATGGAGATGAGGTGGGGGCAGGTAGAAGATGGCTACCAAAGTGGGTAGCACAGTATTTTGCCAGGAGGAGATCACAGTCTGGGGACGCAGCACATAAATAATCATTGTAGGGCCTGAGTCTAGCAGGACAAACAGGAATCACATGCTCTGAGTGGGGGGCGGGGCCCCAAGACATTTTTCTCTTTTTCTTTCTGTTTGATATTATAGAAAAGGTAAATGGGAGAAATAAAATTTTTATGAGAAAGTGTTTGGGGAGTAACAAATCTGGGGGAGCTGGAAAAGGCTCCATGAAAGAGTTTGCATTTGACCTGGTCTGGAATGACAAAGTGAAATTCACTGGAAGAGGAGGCAAAAGACTCTTTCTTGACTGATGTGGGTTAGCTCCAGTTACCCCACTTCCAGTTACCCCAGATCCTTTACTTTTTAGTAGTAATAACCACTTTCAGGGAGAGGCGGGCTTGAAGAGAGGCGGGAAGCATTGATCGGATGGGCAGGATTCAAAGCTAGCTTACGAGCTATGTGACCTTTTGGTGAGTTACATAAGCTCGCTAAGCTCAAGCTTTCTCTTCATAAAATGGGTATAAAATAGTACACCTGTTTTATACTATTCACCTGTTACAAAGATTCAAAGAGGGTGACACTGAGGATGCACTTAACATAGGCCAGCTCAAAGCTTAACCAGCTACCCCCTCCATGGCGTCTGTTCATCCCAGGCCCTGAGAGCCTTCTGGGGAGATCTCTGGCCAAATTCATTTTTGTCACCTTAGTAGCTTGAAATCCACCATGATGAGAGTACTTATACCATGGATATTAGGAAAAATGGGACGTTTTCCTCCTGAGCACCAATTGTTAAACGTTTACTAGCTTTCCCTCTAACTGCTGCTGTTATTAATCTGTCAGGGCCTGTACAAATGGTATCTGTGCCCTCCCAGTTCTTTGTAAAGGTTTTCTTTTAGAAAGCTAAGTGCATCTGTTGTCAAAATTGTTTTGAGAATTTATGCTAAACAGACATCAGCAGCAAGAAGTAGTCCTAAAAAGGAAATCAAGTTATAATGTGTTTTGGCCACTTTGAAGAGTTAAGAACATTATCCTGTCAAACTCAAGAGATTTGTGTTCTACTTCACGATGGCTAAAGGTGTTTGCCTGGTTTATGTCAGATGTTATTTTTCCCAGACATTGCTTTCCATCATTTCTGCTATGTTTATTAGAAAGAGGTGGTGCAGAATGAATTGCCTCTTTTCCTGAAGTATAATTCTTTATCCAACTGTGATTCTTCCACTGGATTTATCTTATTTTTTTTTTTTTTTACTTATGCCAAGTTACTCTGGACAATTAGGAGTTCAGTTCAGGCAAGTTGCTGAGGCTTAAGCTTTTACAGCGTTTATAGTAGGGTACAGGGAAGCCTGTTAGCAGCCCATTGGCAGATAAGTAGTTGTGGAGAGGAATTCTAATTCCCTTGGGTGGGAGAGATGTTATGAGAGAACTCAAGGTAGAGTCCCAGACCTAGAGCTTTTGGGATCCTCACAGGCAGCCTAGCTCCAAAAACCAAAATGGGGACCCCTCAGTAACTGAAGCTCAAAGTCAGGCTGGACCCAGGAATTGGGCACTCTAATTTTGAACCTCATGTTATCATTTTCTAATTAAGTCACCCCGCACAAGTCATTTAATGCTTCTGAATCTCACCTTCCTCATCTTTAAAATAGAGATTATACATAATTCTTTTCTTACAGGGCTGTTGTAAAGGTAAAATGAGATAGGACATGTGTCTGGCAAATAATAATCCTTTGGTAAGTGGTAATGGTGGCTATTATTTATACTGATCTGATTTACTCTGGAAAGTTATTTACTACCACTTAATCAGTGAATCCCTGTTTTCTTCTGCCTGGAGAACATGGTACAGAGTTTTCTACTGAGGAGCAATTCGACTGCAAATCACTGCCCATAATTCATATTACCTGTCCTATAGCCTGATTTGTGCCCCAAACCACTGTTTTCTCTTTGTCGTGTAGTGTCTTAGTCTGTGTGATCAGCAGGCCTCTGGGTTCTCAGTTCTTCAGTTTCAGTTACTCTGTTTGGGCTGTCTGTTGAGGGTATCTTCAAGGTTCCCTGAAATTAATTTCTCGTTAATTTTCATAGTCCACATTTAAGTTAGCTCATTCTAAACATACCTTCCAAATTAGGTGAGCATTTCTCCTGCTCTTTTGAAGTGTCATGGCACAGGGGAAACAGAAATCTCAGTATAACTGTCAGCAGTGTGAAAGTCTATGGACTTTTTGTTTTAAAATTCTTTCTTTCCCACTGTCAGGACTAGTCTCAGAGAACACCGGAGTCAGGTCAAGTCCAGTAATCAAGGAATCTGGGACCGTCAAACAGGGTCTGACATGTGTACTGATGAATTCATTTAATTAATAGTCATTAAGCTCTAGCTTTATTGAAAACCTAGGCTTTTTACTGGGACGGCGTCTTACTCTGAAGATCAGGCAGTAGGCCTAGGAAAAATTCAGCCTGTTTTGCCTTAGTAATTTTGCCAAATTAACTTGTTAATTTGTTGATTGTTTTCTTTGTTCTTGATGTATCCATGCAGCACTATGGAACGTTTCCTTCTTGAAACCTCTCTTGACATGAGACTTTCCAGAGTTTTTCTCCTTTATCTTGGCTCCGTCTTCCCCATTTACTTCAAAAACTTTTACCACCCCACTCCATCTTGGCGCATTCATCAGCATGATTAGAAAGTTACCACTTACACCTTGTTGATTTTTGTCACTTGTCTTTTCTACCACTATTGCCTGGAGACATGCTTTTTTAGTGGTGTATTGATTGATTTGTGTTTTATGTTAAAGCAACTTTGAATCCCTGGGAAAGATTTCATTTGGTCATTATGTATTTCTTTAATATGCTGCTGTATTCAGTTGGCTAATAGCCCTTGGTGCATGAGGAAGAGTGATTTTTTTTAAAGATTTTTTTGTTTATTTATGCATGTAGAACTATACATGCATTATACATGTGGATATAGGCCAGAGGTGCGGGGAGACAAGAGGATTCACCAGAGACAGAGTGAGGAGCAGAACAGGCAGATGGCCTGAAATACGCTGTTGAGGGGAGCAATGGGCGAGATAGGAGGGGTCTGCTGCGCTACATGGGTCACCTCCCTGACTGGGGATTGAACTCATGCTGCAGTGGTTGCGGTAGCTTCATAGTGCTGTGCTTTAACCCGCTGCATCACCAGGGAGGGCCTGGGAGAGTGATTTTTAATTTTCTTTCCTTGTCATGTCTTTGCCTGGTTTTGTGTCAGGATTATGCTCCCCTTATAGTACAAGCCAAGAAGTATTACAGTCTTCTTATTTTTTTTTTATTTTTATTTTTTTTAGATTTATTTATTTGTGCATACAGAACTGGGGTACAGGCCAGAGGCTCAGGGGAGGTGAGAGGCTTCACCAGAGACAGAGTAGGGAGCAGAACAGGCAGATCAAGGAAGTACACTGCTGAAGGGAGCAGCGGGTGGGTCAGGAGAGGTCTGCCACACCATGTGGTCACCTCCGGGGCAGGCGGGAATCGAACTCATGCCGAAGTGGCTTTAGATTCTCAGTGCAGTGCTTTAACCCGCTGCGCCACCAGGGAAGACCCACAGTCTTCTTATTTTTTGAAAGTGTTGATATTATTGGTATTTTTTCTCTTTAAATATTTGATAGCATTACTAGTGATAGTACCTGGATCTAGGGCTTTCATTGTGGGAAGTTATAAAATTATAAATTCTGTTTCTATAAGGGCTGTGGGGCCACCAAACCTTCTGTTTCTTTCAGTGCCAGTTTTAAGAAGTTGTGTTTGTGAAGATTCTGTCCTGGACTACCCCCAACCCCTCCACCTTTCCTAGGTGGTTTTATTTTCCCCCCTTTAGTTTATTTAAGTGGAGTGGTAGATAGTTTGGGGCGATGCATGGATCAGGAATAGGAGCTTAGTCAATAGTACTGGTGACACTGGTCCCAGATTTATGGCAAGGTTCACATGAGGTGATCCTTCAGAAATGGTCACAGTTTCCACTGTGACCCAGGGATAGTGGCGCTAAAAGGGAAGCCCTCAGGTTTGGATGTGGAAGTAGAAACTGCTGGATGCCAGAGGTAAAGTGTTCTCTTTCAGGAACCGTAAAGGCTGTTGGTTTCTTCGTATGCCTGATGACACATTTACAGCTTAGCCGCATGTGGCGATTCGGTGTTTTTGTATGTTATACCCACAGGGGGTTGGAAAATAAAATGACCCGCCTCCCGCCCCAGCCCCTTCTGGGCCAGATCCATGGTGTCTGAGGCATCAGGTGCCAAATTCCCCCTCTCAGAGCTGGACTTAGACAGCTTAGGCTCAGGCAGTAAAGGGGCCAGGCTCAGTGCAAAGCAGAATTTTCTGCTTGGGTCTTTTTGCTCTTGGGTCTTTTTGCTCTTTGCTGCAGAGGAGGAAGGAAATGGAGGCGCTGTGTCTGGCAGCTGCATGATCCTAATGTAATTACCCACAGACACCAGAAAGCTGGGGGGGTGGGTGAGAGCCCTTAGCAAGTGAACAATAACATATTTCATCAGTTTTTAGTTGGCCCATCAGTCAACAAGTGTTTATGAAGTGCCCGGAGAGTACATAGCATGGCGTTTAGTTTTCACATTTTCAAACCTCTGTAGCATATGAAAGTAGAGAGTGGATTTCCAGGGCTTATCCTCTCGGATGTAATTTGAAGGGGAGAATGAATGGCTGGTCCAGTGTCCTGATTGGA